CATCAATATCACTGCCTTCCACTTCTACATCTTGTCTTGCTGGAAGGTCTTTAAGGGCAGTAACACCAAGCATGGAGCTGTCACCTCCTAGGTAAACAACGCCTTCTTGTGGAATACCTTCTGAAGGACCTGCCTGAGGCTGTTTTACAGTTAACTTTTTAAAAATTTAGTTAAAGGAATACGTTCTAAAATAACAATAAAGTACAACATTGTAAATACATAAACCAGTAGGACAGTCCTTTATTATATACTGTACATAATGCATACACTATATAGTCTTACATGACTAGCAGCACAGTGTAGGTTTATTTACACCAGCATCATCACAAACACACCGTGATACAACAGCAAAATGGCACGACAGCTACCACATCACAAAAGATAACAATTTTTCAGCTTTATTATAACTTATGGGACCATCATCACATAAGTGGTCCATCACTGACTGAGATGTTATGTAGCATGTAACTGTCCATGTTCTAATAAACGAAAACAACCCTGTATCAGACCATCCAGAGTAAGTTATTAGTTTTACCATGTCTTGAAATGTCCTTTACATGGAAATGTTCATGCATTTTTTTAGTAACAGGATCACATACGTTATTTCATATTCTACTTTTTAAATCTGTTATTTTCAAAGTATGTGATATCAATAAACGTTCTTCAAAAATCCTAATTTTAATGACTGTGCATTATTAAAATATATTGTTGTTTCAAAATGTACTGAATGATTCTCTTATTGTGAGTATCTGTGGTGTTTCCATTGATTAGTTATTAAAATCGCTTGCTGTCTTCACTGTCTCCCTGTTTGTGCTTTTTTTGGCCCATTATGCCAGCCTTCTGTTTGTAACACTCTGAAAAAAACATTATGGCAAAAGTCACCAATGACCTTCTAATAGCCAAAAGCATAAGACTCTGCAACTACAAACAGTGACTGCAAACTAGATTTATCTGGTTCAAATTCCATCTTTACCACTTAGAAGCTATGTGATCATGTGCAAATTATTTATTTTTCCATGATTTTTCTTCCTCATCTGTGAAATGGAGCTCATTTTTACATTACCTTTCCTTAATAATGGCCCCCCAAATGCAGGAGTGATGCTGACAATTCAGATATGCCAAAGAGAAGCCATAAACTTCTCCCTTTAGGTGAAAAGGTGAACATTCTCAACTTAATAATGGGGGGGAAACTGTAAGCTGAGGTTGCTAAGATTTATATTAAGAACAAACCTGTGGAATTGCCAAGAAGGAAAGAGAAGTTTTTGCTAGTTTTGCTCTTGCACTTCAGATTACAGAAGTCCTGGGCACAGTGCATGATAAGCACTTAGTTAAGATGAAAAAGGCATTAAATCTGTGGGTGGAAGACATGAACAGAAATTCATTCCAACTGATAGCAACATGTTATACCAGAAAGCACTGAGTCTATATTAAGACTTCAGCGAGGGATCCCCTCAAACAACTGACACCAAGATATTTACTGCAAGTAAAAGATGATTATACAGACTCAGGATTAGATTTGGAATGAAAAATATAAAAATTACTGGAGAGGTTGCATCTGCCAGTGAAGAATCTATCCCCAGATTTCTAGCAGAGTTGAAGAAGCTGCTTAAAGAGAAAGGATATTATCCAAACCAGGCTTCAACTGTGATGAAACCAGTTTCTTCTGGGTCTTAAAGATGCCCAGCAGAACCTGAATTTATTAACTTGCAAAGGAGGCATCAAGGCATAAGACATGGAAGGGCACATTAACTCTGGTACTATGTAGAAACACATAGGGCATATGACAAAGCCAGGATGGTGTACAGAGTGAAGACCCTATGCATTTCAAAAATGAAATCAAAAATTATTTCCCCATGTTCTGGCAACATAATCAGAAAGCGTGGGTGACAGCCATCTTGTTTATGGAATGGTTCCACCAATGATTCATCCCAGAAGTGAAAAATACTTGGAAGAAGGAAAGCTGAAATTTAAAGTCACATTAAGAATAGACATTGCACCTGGCTATCCTGAATCTGTTTGCTATGAAAGTAAAAATGTCAAGGTTGTATTTTTAACTCCATACTGCTTTTAACCATACTGCTTCAGTCCCTTGCCCAAGGCATCATTCAAGTTATCAAGCCCACAAATACCCGCCTGGTATTTGATTACATTCAAACAGCAATTGAGGCAGACCCTAATCTGGACATAATCATTCACTACTGCTAATGCAATAAAATTAACCAAAACTGCAATGAATGAATTAAAACCAGAAACTGCAAAGGCCTGCTTGAGGAACTTATGGAATGAAGTAGTGAATGATTTTAAAGGCTTCCTAAAGATCAATAGAGAATTTAATAAAACCATTCCTGCGGCAAGACAAGTTGGTGGAGAAGCATTGTCCAACATGCTTGATGAAGAAGTTAAAGAACGTATTGAAGAGCACTGACAAGTGTTAATAAACGAGGAATTGGAAGAACTTGCTGAGCTGTCTGCAGAGGAGGAGGAAGATGAAGTAGAATCAGCAACGTGCCCATTACTAAAATTTGCCAAAATGTTTTGAACTGCATAGACATTAAAGGACAACATTAAGGAACGTGATCTTTGGAAGGAACACAGAATTAAAGTCACCCGCATGATCACTGAAGGATTACAATCGCAGTAACAGGACTTTGATAAATTAAAAAGAAAGAGACAACTTCATGTTATAATGTTCTTCCAAATGATTTCAACCCAAAACTCCTTTCAACTATGAAGAACCCATAACTTATCATTGAAATCATCATCTGCTCCTCTCATGGAACCATCACCATCTTCATGGCTAGATGACCGGGTCACCTGAAGTAGATGATGCTCTTTCTGATGTATGTGTCAGAAAGTCAACAGCAGCCCAACCCTATGTCCAATGCCTTTGTTACTCCCCTCGCTTCATCTCATCGTGCAGGTTTATCATCTCACATCAGCACAAAAAGCAGGGTGGGGTAAGCACAACACAAGAAGCTATCTGCTGGGGGAGGGGACCACATTCGCATTACTTCTATTATATATAATATTACAACTGTTCCATTTTATTATTAGTGTTAATCTCTCACTATGACTAGTTCATAAATTAAACCTTATCATAGATATATATGTATAAGAAAAGACATAGAATGTGTAAGATACAGTACCATCCATGTTTTCAGACACTCACTGTGTATCTGTGAACATACCTCTCTCAGACGTGGGGACTACCGTAATTTTATAACCAGGTAACAAAAAGATAACCTTAAGGTTTCTAGCCTGTGGAAGTCATTTACTGAAACAGGGAACACTGTAGAAGGGGAAGGTTTGGTGGTAGGGGAAAGAGAAAGTAATCTGTTGTAGTAGTTTTAAAAGTCAGTTTACAAGTTCTCTGAAACTCTTCTCATCAAGAAGTAGAAACTAATTCCTCACCTCCTGAATAAGGACTAAACTTAGTAACCCACTTCTAATGAACCAGAGACAGCACAAGTGTTACCATGTGACTTCAGAGGCAGTATTATGACAAGTAATATAACGTATACCTGGCTTTTTCTCACAACACTTGTTCTTGAAAGCCAGTCACCATTCAGTGAAAATGCCTAGGCCACAATGAGAAGCCACATACAGGGTGGCTGAGGGCCACAGTCCAAGTTGAGGGCTAGCTATACAGCCAACTAACTAGTTCCAGCATCAAACACAAAACATGTCACAAAAAGAAAGCCTCTGAGATGATTCCAGCCTCAGGCATCATCAGACAACAATTACATGGGAACTTTGGGAGGGAAGAGCATTGCTCACGCCAGTCCACTCCCAGAACCATAAGAATTAACAGTACTAAATGACTGCTATTCTACCCTATTTAATTTAATGTTATTTATTACACAGCAATAGCAATGGCAGCCACAACAAAGACACCACAATTTCACTCTTAAAATTACCACCTTTCATTCTTCAGACGTACACCTCATCAGACATACAACATTTTCTTGTTTCAAAGTTACCATCAAATTGATTTTTAAAAAAGAAAATAGGGTAGCAAATTCATTATATTCTAGAAACTTGTACAGTCTGGAAGAAAATTTAGCAAATGTTTTAATAAGCAGCAAACCAGCTATTAAATCTTACAGCCAAAGACAAATAAAATTAAGAAATATCAATATATAAACTGTGCATAAACCTGAGCACTGAACAAGTAAATCAGTCAAAGAAACATTATACAAATAAAAAGACTAAGCACTTATTAATTTAATTTATGGGAATACTTTCATGAAAATGATTTTCACTAAATGAAAAAAAATATGAATTTGGTGGAAAAAATACTGGCTCTATTTACACATTCCAGATGCAAAATAATAACCAGAGAAAGCTGGCAGGAGTGTGAGAAAAGTAGATAATATTAATTTCAGAATACGATACAAGAAGCACAAAATATTCTAGCGAAAGTTTTTTTCTATTAAAATGTTTTTCAATAACTGATTTTCAAAACAAATGTTTAATAATGAATTTATAAAATATTAGACGCTATTTACAACTTATTTGCCAAATACCTAGAGAATTTATAATACTATATAAAATCAAACAATCACACAAATTAAATAATATACGAAATCATGATATTATTTAAAAAGTTATCAAAACGACCAATTTACCATTGCTGGGAAAATAAAAATTGTGGCCAGAGTAAGAGACCAGTTCTTTAGCATGCCTTGAATAAGATGAACAGTAGCAAACAGTATTACTGCTTTGTAGTCAAGAATCATTACCATGTGTTTGGATAACACCACGTATCCCCTTCACCTCCAGTCACACATACTCACAATCACTCATCAGTACCATCTTATTTTACGACTCTGTAAGTATGTACACATATACACATGTCTATACACCTGGATACTCAAGTATGTATATGTGCATGTATGTACATGTGTGAGTATGCATGTGTGTTTAGAAGCCCATCATAACTGCACAAAGCACACTGTCAAAAAACATGAACCATGAGAACATCACTCGCCGTTTCGCACCTGAAGTTGTCGGTACTTCCACAGTAATACTACTGTATGGTGGAGGAGAAGAGTCAGTTGCAAGTGCTGGTGCTGAGGGAGCAGTCTGCATGGTCTGTGGTGACGGGTGTGAAGTAGACGGCTGCTCTACAGAAGGTGATTCTGAATTGTCCTCTTCATTGTGAAGCTAAGAGAATAAAAGAAAAAGAAAAACTTAATGTAAGGCTACTTATAATTTTTTTAATTCAAGCTAATATTAAAAGATCATTTCCAGCAAAGAATTACTTTTTAGCTGAACACAAAGTAAAATCAGCATTTTAAAAAAAAGAAAAAAAAATTTAAAGGCCTCATCATCAAGATGCTTAGAATTTTAATACTTAGTTTCTACATAATAAAAATGAAGTTCAAATTAAGAATTTACAAAGAAAAAAATTACAGTTCAAAATCGATTCTAATTCATTACTACAGCAGAAATCAAAGGTCTGCCACGTACAGTTAACTACATACAGTAAAGAAAAGCAAGAATCCTAATAACATAACCATAATATCATCTCTACTAAAACTTAATCTAGAATAATTAGAAATGGAAACAGAATTAATGAAATGGAATAACAATGTATATACATTCTAAAATGTGAAGTATTTTTTAAGTAGGTTTTCCCAAATACAAAAAATAATTACCTATAATGTAACATAAGCCAACATGTATATAAAATTGCAGAAAATGTTATTCATCACAGCAAATTCACTGAGAGTTCAGTAACTGCTAATACATTGAGCTCTTAACTCATTTAATCCTCACCACAAACCTATAGGGTAATGACTGTTATTATCCCCCTAATTAAAAGAAAAAAAAAAAAAAACCACCCTGGGAAATACAGAGACTTACTTGCCAAATATCCCAACAGCTAGGAGAGGTGAAGACAGGAATTAAACACAAGTGTGTGGCTACTGACTTTTTACTTCATATACACAATCTTTAAAATTGTCATTCTTTAGGAACTGATAATAACTACATGCAGGCAAACTAATGATATGAGCCAGAGATACTGACACTATAAGTGATTCATCAGCTGGCGTGGTGCCCCCACTGGTAATCCCAGCAATCTGGGAGGCTGAGGCAGGAAGACTGCTGGAGATCAGGTGTTTGAGACCAGCCTGAGCAAGAGTTCCACAAAAAAATACAAAAATTAACCAGGTATATTGGTATGCACCTGTAGTCCTAGCTAATCAGGACCAAAAAGTGAAAATAGAAAACTCAGCCAGATGTGGTGGTTCATGCTTCTAGTCCCAGCTACACAGGAGGCAAAGGGAGGAGGATCACTTGAGTCTAGGATTCTGAGGTTGCAGTGAGCTATGATGACACCACCGCACTCTAGCCTAATCAGAGTGAGACTCTTGTCTCAAAAAAAAAAAAAATTTTTTTTTCATCAAGAAGGTACTATAATTGATCTTGAAATGTATTTGGAAAAAGCCTTATTAAGATATTTTTAATAGGCTTGGCACCTATGCTCAGTTGTTAGGGCTCTGGCCACATGCACCAGGGCTAGCAGGTTCAAACTCAGCCAGGGCCTGCTAAGAAAACAACAATAACAACAACAACAAAAATAGCCAGGTGTTGTGGCGGGCACCTGTAATCCCAGCTACTTGGGAGGTTGAGGCAAGAGAATCACTTAAGTCCAAGAGTTTGAGGTTGCTGTGAGCTGTGATGCCACTGCACTCTACCCAGGGCAATATAGTGAGACTCTGTCTCAGAAAAAAAGAAAGAAAGAAAATATTTTTAATATACTTTTAAAATTAGCATATCAGTTTGAAAATAAATTGCCAGTTTTTAATTAAATTTTATTTAGTTTTCATATCTTAATTTGTTACTTTATGAAATTTAATGTCAAAAAAACTACTCAAAGAAATTTTGCTATGGAGCTACTATACATACAAATTGAATACTGTGATGCAGCAAAACAACAATGAAATCTGGAGTTTAGAAAGAACAGCATGTAGATTCTGCTTTATCTTTTAGGAACTTTGATAAACTCACTTTTTCTGTGCTTTAGTGTAACCCCTAAGTTCTGAATGCAGTCAAAAACCTCATAGGGTTGTACAAAATATTTGAAAAACATCTAGCATAACACCACACAGGAGGCATTTAGTAAATACTGGTCTCCCCCTTTTATTTCTTATACTTTATTTCATGAACTCAAAACAGAAATTATGTGGTACTATTAGTCCAATAAATAGTCATACTCTTATCTCCAAAACTAAAAATACATATATGCAAAGTAAAACAGGAGGTCAATTTACAGCATTGCTGTTTGCATGTCTTTGTAAGTGATCACACTAGCAAAACATGTCTTGGCAAATGAAAAAAAAGCCATACCACTGGCCAATCCACCAGGCCCAATGGAGGGCCCTGTTTGTCACCTAACACTTGATAGCAGCACATCCACACATCTCATCTGGGTATTTTTTGAAAACATTCAGTGAGGTATCTACCTTCCAGTTATTACATGAGTATTTATCATCTTTAGGTAGAATGAAGGTCTACACTACTGGAGACATACCAGTGAAAATGAAAGAACAGTTGATAGGCAGGAAGCCTATATTCCCAGCCGGAATTAATCATAATGCTTATAGTTTTCTTATAATTCTAAAACACTTATATATATTTATAAAGACTATCTACAGATAATTTTAAGAAAGCTTTCTTGGCTTCCTTTTTTCCTTCAGGCAAAAAAACAGTGGTTCATTCATCATGTGACTGTTCCCCACCCAGTTACTGTATTAAAGACATTTTAGTTTTCATCTGCTATATTGCCCACATTTTTTTTCAGGAGGCCCATAAGTAGGAAGAACGGGAATGACAGCTTTGGGGGTGAGGTGTGAATAGGGCACAGAGCCTAATTTATTACTGAACTATATACAAGAAGGTTCCCTTCACCTGGCCCCTCTTTTTTTTTTTTGCTATTTAGGCAAATGTAAAAAACTGTAAAATAAAACCATTGGACAACATGATTAAGGGAAATTATTCCCAAATGGCATTGTCTAATTTAATATACATGTGATTTGATTTGAACTCTTGTAATGGACTTATTTAAAAGGCAATCAAAGTTGGTTTATTTATAGAGGCAGTTTTACTGCTTACAAAATGTCAAAATTAAAATGTTGCATTTGAAGTAAATTGGAAGTTACATGCTGCAGTAGGCAGCGGTTGTTTACTGAGTTCTGGGTTTTACTGTTGATGCATGGCAGTGTTCACTGTGTATCATAATCTTGTAAAAGTAAAACTGTAGGTGTTAGGTGGGGCAGTTGAAATAAATCAGGGTATGTTTCACAAGTTCCAAAGCTTTACTTTAAAGCTCATGTGTAATAGTGTCTACAGTTATTTCTTTTACTGTGGTTCTTTTCACTGTATTTTTTGAGTAAATTTTGCCATGTTTTAAAATTTTACCATTAATTCTGGGGAACACATTTATGTATTTGATGTGCTGAGGAGTGTTTTGCCATGTAAAGATTTTTTTCTTCAGTAAAGTTAATTGTATCTACATTGGCAGCTCAATATGAGATGCGGAGAGTGGTTTTCTCTTTTTGACACTTTCACTATGATATTGTTGACATTACCAAGGAAATATCTGTGCTTTCCTTCTTTTGCCTTACTTGCTTATCTAATTCTTGCCCTTCAAGGTATAGTTAGTTACAGATGACTGCCTGAGGCATTCTCCAAAGTATGTGTAATGGAAAAGTGTGGGAGTTGCTGGTCAGGAGTCATTCAGCGCCCACGTGGAAACATGATGCAATGCAAACAAAGCTTGTAAAGTTTATAATCATAAAGTTCACTTTATGACTATTTGGTCTTCAAATTCAGTTTCTGTAAGTTGTTTTGTGGAAAGAGTTGTTTTAGTAATTTGAGAAATTATTTTAGGTGTCTTTATTACAGTTTTGTTAAGTTATAATACATTTATTAACTCAAAATGTTTTGCTAGTGTGATCACTAATGAAAAACATGCAAAGAAAAGTCTTTTCTTTCTTGTTTGAATTTGAGCATAGGTTGGAACCACAAGGATAGAAATGTAAGATTTTTGCTCTAACGTTTTTTTTAAGTTGTAGGGAAAAAAGCTATCTAAAGAACTGATTTTTTGTGATTATCATATTATGGCCATCAAGGGACAGAACCAGGAAGGAGCTAGTAGTTGCACTGAGACAAATTTTAGCTTAATAAAAAAAATCCTTATTATTAGAGCTACTCATGAAACTAGCCCTTTTTGTGAGACAACAAAATTTTTCAAGCAGAGTTTGGATGACAAACTAGCAAGGCTGTGGTCCCACTGGGTGACCACACCTGCTTTTCTCAGGACACACTTTATAGCTGTTGTTCCAGAGTCTCCAATTAAGCATTTTTCCCATCCCATTTAGCCTCAAAAATGTTCCAGTTTGCTAAATTAAATGGTTCAATCTATATATAATGGAATTCTTGTCCCAGGAGGATAGTAAAATGATGACACAAAGACTCCTTCTAACTCTAAGACACACTGAGAATTATTTTTAATGCCTAGTCTCTATCATTCTATGTCACCTTATTAAATATTTGATTTAGAAGAACAAGATTAGAGTCACAATAAAACCAAATGGCATAGTCAAGCTACTCATCTAAGTCATCCAGGAAGAAAGTAAGCCACCTCATCAGTGCTTCCCGTCAGTGCTGTTCAGTAAATGAAGCTATATTTTCTACCGATAAAACTAAATCATAGCTGTCTTTCTCATACACACAGCCATTGAAGAAAATTTTAAAAAGTAGAATTTTCTTAAATTTAGCATTCTTTACCAAATGTTTTCCTACTAAAACTCTCTTTCCAGATAAGCGGTGTCCAACTTTGGTTAAAATTAAAAGAAAATATAAGCCACAAGTCACAATAATATAAAGTGGAAAGGCTTGAGAGAGAGTAACACAGCTAACCCAAGTAGTCTGAAGTCTCTAACAGCTAGTTATTACCTTCCTTAGTAAGAAAAGGAGAGGGGTTTGGAGAACATCTACATCACAAAGACCTCCAAAGGAACAAGGAATCCAAACTGGATCTTACATAAACTTCTATTTTCAAAAGAATTACAACTCTGGTTAAATTCCTTTTCATATGCTAAAACAGCAACAGAAATACGGAAATCCTAAGACTTTCTCCTTGCGTACTACATGCT